AGAGGCAATCGGATATTCCCTGGATCAACTTCCCTATAAATGTTATATCCAGTTATATTCTGTGTATCCAAGAAAGAATCCAGGACTTTCCTACAGCAATCCACTGAGCTGGCCACAACCAACTCTGGAGGGAGTCTTTTCCACATTCTCACAGCTCTTACTGTGAAGAAACCTTTCCGTGCTTGGAAATTACATTTCTTTTCCTCCAGATGTAAAGAGCGCCCCCTTGTCCTCTGTGATGACCTCAGGGGGGATAACTACACCGAGTTCACTATATGAACCACTGATGTATTTATACATGGTGATCATATCCCCCCTTATGTATTATACATGGAGATCATATCCCCCCTTATGTATTATACATGGAGATCATATCCCCCCTTATGTATTATACATGGAGATCATATCCCCCCCCCTTATGTATTATACATGGAGATCACATCCCCCTTATGTATTATACATGGAGATCATATCCCCCCTTATGTATTATACATGGAGATCATATCCCCCCCTTATGTATTTATACATGGAGATCATATCCCCCCTTATGTATTATACATGGAGATTATATCCCCCCTTATGTATTATACATGGAGATTATATCCCCCTTATATATTATACATGGAGATCATATCCCCCCTTATGTATTATACATGGAGATCATATCCCCCCCTTATGTATTATACATGGAGATCATATCCCCCTTATGTATTATACATGGAGATCATATCCCCCCTTATGTATTATACATGGAGATCATATCCCCCCCTTATGTATTATACATGGAGATCATATCCCCCTTATGTATTATACATGGAGATCATATCCCCCCCTTATGTATTATACATGGAGATCATATCCCCCATTATGTATTATACATGGAGATCATATCCCCCTTATGTATTATAAATGGGGATCATATCCCCCTTATGTATTATACATGGAGATCGTACCCCCCCCCTTATGTATTATACATGGAGATCATATCCCCCATTATGTATTATACATGGAGATCATATCCCCCTTATGTATTATACATGGAGATCATATCCCCCATTATGTATTATACATGGAGATCATATCCCCCTTATGTATTATACATGGAGATCATATCCCCCTTATGTATTATACATGGAGATCATATCCCCCCTTATGTATTATACATGGAGATCATATCCCCCTTATGTATTATACATGGAGATCATATCCCCCTTATGTATTATACATGGAGATCATATCCCCCCTTATGTATTTATACATGGAGATCATATCTCCCCTTCTGTTTTATACATGGAGATCATATCCCCCCTTATGTATTATACATGGAGATCATATCCCCCCTTTATGTATTATACATGGAGATCATATCCCCCCTTATGTATTATACATGGTGATCATATCCCCCCTTATGTATTATACATGGAGATCATATCCCCCCTTATGTATTATACATGGAGATCATATCCCCCTTTATGTATTATACATGGAGATCATATCCCCCTTATGTATTATACATGGAGATCATATCCCCCCCTTATGTATTATACATGGAGATCATAACCCCCCTTATGTATTATACATGGAGATCATATCCCCCCTTATGTATTATACATGGAGATCATATCCCCCCTTTATGTATTATACATGGAGATCATATCCCCCTTATGTATTATACATGGAGATCATATCCCCCCTTATGTATTATACATGGAGATCATATCCCCCCTTATGTATTATACATGGAGATTATAACCCCCCTTATGTATTATACATGGAGATCATATCCCCCCTTATGTATTATACATGGAGAACATATCCCCCTTATGTATTATACATGGAGATCATATCCCCCCCTTATGTATTATACATGGAGATCATATCCCCCTTATGTATTATACATGGAGAACATATCCCCCCTTATATATTATACTTGGTGATCATATCCCCCCTTATGTATTATACCGCCACCCCTCTGTCCAAGTATACCATGTCCACCGCCACCCTCTGTCCAAGTATACCACGTCCACCCCTCTGTCCAAGTATACCACGTCCACCTTCGCCCCTATGTCCAAGTATACCACTCTGAAGAAGCCCACGTGATTCGGTGGGCGAAACGCTTTACGTCACATCTGGGTGACGCCTGCACTTGCGCAGTTACAGCTGACTGGCTGTTTGGCGCCAGTCCTCCTCCCTGCATGCTCTGTACAGTCACTAGGATGGTCTTTCCTGGTTTCCTCTGAACCACGCTCTTGGGTTACTTACCCGGCCGCATCCCTGCCAAGCTCTGCATTCAAGGTTTGATTCCCAGACGTGGGATGGCTCCCCGGCTGCACCGCCGCTAACTCTTCACGCTTCCACAAATACCTTAGGCTGACCTGACCGCACAGCTGCATGCTCTGCAATTGCCATAACATGGAGGGGAACTCTGGCTACTAACTCTACATCATATAGCCATCTACACCCCATGAGCCCTGTGATTGTTCCTTTACCCACATGAGGTTTGAAGGCGATGCCAGGTATAAGCTGTTTCATGGTAAATGGAATACATTCTTAAGGATCAGAGGCATGATGTGGTGAGATGTATATATCTCAGTATGTTCATTATCTGTGCAATCCTTGGGCCATATGTCTGAATCAATATCATCAATTTATATTATTCAGTTGATTCATATGTGATAACCTTCTATTCATCAATAGACCAGGAATATTTCACATACTTTCTGCCAGGGCGGTGCGGTGCAGGGACAGTTTTTCTGGTGACATTACCCATAATTAGCCATATGGCATGATTATTCATTTGACACCCGGATGATTGGCAGTTCTCAATATCATATGCTAGAAGGACTAATCTAGTGGTACGCTATCATTCCTAATAGGAGTCTTCCCAATGTTCATTCATCACGTTATTCATCTCACGGCATGTTCTATTTGAGATTTCATCATGTTGTATGTCAGTGGACTATTTTTCACTAGACTTCATAATGGTCTTAGTGACTCTCTGCCATTCCTACAGAGCGCCGTTATGGTGCCAACTATGCCTTGTATAAGGGCCATGTGAGGATGTGATAGGTGGGAGCCACTTTTACTATTATGACTATTTGTGCCAATTTATTGATTGCTGTTTGCATTTCATGCTTACTCTTGAGCCTGTCATCCTGTATATTTTTCTTAAAAATCTAAATATTCCCAACACCCCATAGAGTCTCTTTTACACAACAAACCGCCATCCACAACACTTTAGCTTCAGCCTTCTCCACATTACACATTCAATACAACATTATCACATACATTACATTTCTAACACGCATCAAACCTTTCACCAAACGTTTCTACACCTCCTTCACAAACTCACACTGCATACATGACCTATCCTCTCCACTCTCCGACACCCCTCCCTTGGGTACACCTCACTATCAACAAGCCTTTACCTCCTCTGAAACTCTCTCGTAGGCAACCATGTACGCACATCCATGCAATATCCTTTTGTCTATTATCCAGTTCCTTACAACTCACTGTCAGGAATGGACTAGCCAATGGTGGTGGGACTCACCTGCCTTGTGGGCTGCAGTACCAAGGCTGGCCAGTGGGTGCTCTCAGCAGCCAGAATCTCACTCCTGCAATCAAGCCATCACCTGAGGCTGATTGCAGGAGGTGTATTTAAGCAGGACCAGGCCTGTGATCAGTGCCTTGGGGTATTGTTTCCCATGAGCCCCTGTACCTGGTATCCTGTGTTCCTGCAAATCTGCCTACCTGATTTGTTGCTGACCCTGCTTTGATCCTGACCTCTGCTGACCGTCTCCTGTTTAACCCCTGGCTTGCCTGACCATCCTTCTGCCTGATCCTCTGTACCATGCTGCCCGTGAGTTACTGAACCGGCTCGTGACCCTGACCATTCTCTGCCTGCTCCTCCGGTACCTCGCTGCCCTGGCCTGCCTGACTACGCCTTACACTACCCAGACAATCCATCCATCCCGCATGGATCTGTTCCTGTTACCAGGTCTTCCAGCCTCTTCACGTCAGGCTCCTTTTCCCCGCACACCTCTGACGACGCTCTCTACCATTGCCGGACGTACTCAGGGGTCACGACCTGGTCTCAGTCTGCTCCAAGTCCATCCCCACCTTCAGGGGCCATGGTGAATAAGCAGATTGGGACTTAGACCCCGCGCCCTGAGGAACCCCATGCTGTGGGCTGCTAGAGACACTGCCAGGCGGTGCTTAACAGTACCAAACGGCCTGCCTGACCATTCCACCACTCCAGCCCTGACTACACCTGTGTTCCCACACATTTCTGGTCATACCCAGATCCCTGACACTCACATTCATCCACACTTTTCAACACTTTCCCATCCACTCCATCTTTTCTCTCCTCTCCTGTAAGGGATATGGAATGCAGGTGTCCAGCAAGCAAGGATGACAAGATCAGTGGGCTGTACTTTGGAAAATCAGGAATCAGGCTTAATGAAGTTTATTAAAACAAATAATACACTTCCAACATCACTACTATAAACAATGTAAGGTAACAAAGTAAATATTTAAGTTCAGAACCCCAAACAATAACCTAACTTTGTTCAAAATGGAAGGAACACCTTTGCTCAGGGCAAGGTCAGGACTGGACAGGAAACAAGGTACTGGAAGCAAGGCACAGGGTACAGGTCACAGGAGCAGGTACAGGAACTAGGAACAAGGATCAGAATCAAGTAAGGACAGGTCTCTCAGGAAGAACACTGATGCACTGAACCTCAGTTATGGGCACGATCAAATACCTCCCAGCAGTCCACTTCAGGTGCAGCCTAATTACTCAGATAGTCTGGCTGCCGGGAGACATCTGCTGGCAGCAACGAGAACTGTGATTGGCTTGATGCATAGTGACTTTTGGAAATGATTGAGAACCCCACTTGACCGAATGAGTCAGTCCATCCCATGAATGGATATAACTTCTAAGACAGGCTTGAGCAGATGTAATTGTGGTAGGTTGAGGCCTGGTAACAGAGTCCCAAATATGGAAAAGCAAAAGGTAGAACTGGGGATGAATCAGGGGTAGACTGGCCTATAGTTGAGGCAGTGACCAGCAGGTCTGGAGTTAAAGGCTTGATTGACAACGGCTGGACCAGAGTAACAGGTATGGTGGCAGGTGTGATCGGAGCAACTGGCATGGTAGCCGGCTTGAATGGAGTAACTAGCATAGCAGGCTTTTCCAGATCAACTGGCATGGTGGCAGGCTGGACCGGAACAGCTGGCATGGTGGCATGCTGGATCAAAACAGCTGGCATGGGTGGCAGGCTGGACCAGAACAGATGGCATGGTGGCAGGCTGGACCAGAACAGATGGCATGGTGGCAGGCTGGACCAGAACAGATGGCATGGTGGCAGGCTGGACTGGAGCATCTGGCATGGTGGGTGGCTAGACCGGAGCAAGTGGCATTGTGGCAGATGGACAAGAGCAAGTGGCATCATGGCAAGCAGGGAACACAGCAGCTGGTGTGGAGGCAAACTGGACCGGAGCTACTGGTGTGGAGGTAGACTGGACTGGAGCTATTTGGCATGAAGGCAGACCGGACCAGAGCAAATGATGTCATGGAAGGCTGAACCCCATTGGTAAGCAGCATAGAGGCAGGCTGAACCCCATCAGCAGAAAGCATAGAGGCAGGCTGAACCCCATCAGCAGACAGCATAGAGGCAGGCTGAAACCCATCAGCAGACAGCATAGAGGCAGGTTGAACCCCATCAGCAGGCAGCATAGAGGCAGGCTGAACCCCATCAGCAGACAGCATAGAGGCAGGTTGAACCCCATTGGTAAGCAGCATAGAGGCAGGCTGAACCCCATCAGCAGACAGCATAGAGGCAGGCTGAACCCCATCAGCAGACAGCATAGAGGCAGGCTGAACCCCATCAGCAGACAGCATAGAGGCAGGCTGAACCCCATCAGCAGGCAGCATAGAGGCAGGTTGAACCCCATCAGAAGGCAGCATAGAGGCAGGTTGAACCCCATCAGAAGGCAGCATAGAGGCAGGTTGAACCCCATTGGTAAGCAGCATAGAGGCATGCTGGACCCCATCAGCAGGCAGCATAGAGGCATGTTGAACCCCATCAGCTGGCAGAATAGAGGCAGGCTGAACCCCATCAGCAGGTAGCATGAAGGAAGACTGGACCCCATCAGCAGGCAGCATAGAGGCATGTTGAACCCCATCAGCTGGCAGAATAGAGGCAGGCTGAACCCCATCAGCAGGTAGCATGAAGGATAACTGGACCCCATCTGCAGGTAGCATGAAGGAAGACTGGACCCCATCAGCAGGCAGTATGGAATAAAATGTGACCTCGTCAGCAGGCAGCATGGAGGTTCAGAGCAACAGGTGTGGTAACAGGCTGGACAGGAGCAGCAAGTGTGTGGAGGAGGAGAGGACAGAACCAGAATTGTATTTGGGAAAAGTCTCCTTTTCTTTTTAGGTTTGGACACTGGCGTCCTGCGAGTGATTGCAGGGCTGTGAACAGATTGTGTAGCAGATGGAGGGTAATGCCAGTACTGAGAGACGGTGAGAGAGGGGCAACAGAGTAGTAGAGTGAGTTTTCACTGGATTAAATGCAGGGAGTTTGCAGCTAGTGGAGACAGGCTACTGACATACAGTTGGAAGCAAAGTGTACTGAACTGCAGCAGTGGTTGCTATGGGTAATGGAGAGGGGGATCTTTCAGACACGGCTCACAGGAAGAATACTGAAGCGCTGGACCTCAGTTATGGGCAGGATTCAATACCTCCCAGAAGCCCACGTAAGGTGCAGCTTAATTACTCGGATAGCCTGTATGCTGGTAGACACCTGCTGGTGACCACTGGAACTGTGCCCTTCGACTCTGGGAGCAATAGCGCCACCAGCAGGTGACTCAGGTAAATGCTGACATCTCCAATATATTCATCACTCTCTTGCTCTCACATCACATCTCTCCTCCTGACACATCCTGCAACCCATACCTCCTCATGCATTTTTTTCTATTCTCACATAAAATCATGGTTTGTTTAAAACATTCAGGTTTCCTCAAATCGCTTTCAAGCAAACCATACTTCCTTAAAACACTTCTACTTGCAAACCTCAGCATACATCCAGATAGATTATTTTACTTACCTTCACATACTTACATATTTCACCATTAAAAACATCTCAGTATTCACCGCCTTCTCCCTCTTCAATTTTTCTTTTGTGATGAACCAAAATAAAGGAAAAATGTTCCTTAACCTCCCTGGCGGTATGATTATTTCAGATTTTTGGTGCTGAAAGCGGTACATTTTTTTTGCATGGAAATATGTAGTTTTTTTTATTGTAGGCTGTAATTTAGGAATAACTCCCTGAAATCTGTCACCGAACAAGAGTCTGGTAAACATCCCGGGGAGGATAAAACTTGAAACTTATAATTTAATAAAATAATCATAAAAAATGATAATATAATAATAATAATAAATTTAATTCAATAATATAATCAAACCAAAAACACTGAAATGTGAAATAGAGCGCCAAGTTCGCACATCGCTGAGCTCAGTCGCAGAATCGTTTTCAGTGTCTGATGAGGAATTTCCCCCACCAATCATTATCACTCAATTCTGCAAGTGGTTCTGATTTACTATCGCTGTTCTCTAGCCGGTCTAAAACCGCGTCTGACCTAAAGGGACGCTTTTTGGACGCCATGGACGTTTCTCAGTTTCCAGGCAGAAAGAACAGTAAAAATGCAGGCAGGGCGCCGGACAAAGCACTCGGGACACAATGTATGTGAAATGGTTTGATACAGGAATGTTATACTATGTAATTATCATTTAAAAAAAAAATGAAATTTTTAAAAAATTTCAAATTTGCCACCGGTTCCGGCGCGCGTACGTCCCGACGTCACAGGGACCGGAACACGGAAGCCGGATCAGTGCCCTGATGATCAGTGTACATGTCCCCTCCGCGGAAAGCCGATTACCGGCTCTCCTCTCCTCTGTCAGCGTGACAGCTCGAGAGGAGAGAAATGCTGATAACCGGCATTTCTGTGTTTACATGTGATCAGCTGTGATTGGATCACTGATCACATGACCGAGCCAACACCTTCAGCTCTTTCCGTGATCCGCTGTGTCCGAGGTACACAGCGCACCGGCAATCGCCGCGCTGCGCGCTCCCTGAGTCGTGCATGCACGGTGAGAATGGAAGGACATCATATGACGTCCTATCAGAACGAGAGAACCACCGCCCGCCTGTCATTGTACTATATGGTGGGCGGGAGGCGGTTAAAGAACAGAAATGTATTATGTTTTTTACTTGTGCTAATACATCCTCCCAACTCTCTCAATCAATATTAAACTCCTAACACCTTTACACTCCTCTCACATACCTTCCCCTCATATTGCTGTATTTCTCTGCACTCAGCAAAAGATTTACACTCACTCTTCTCCATATTAATACTAAAACCACTTACCATTCAAAAATATCCATCAGCAGCTTCACTCTCCTTAACCCAGCCATACTTCTACATCCCACTGTCACATCATCCATGGAACCATTCAATTTCCAACTTCTTCCCCCACCTCCACCCTTTTCATACACTTATTTTTAGTAATCATTGTAACGGAACGGACCCCAGACTGCGCTTGAGTACTTCCGTTAGACTACCGCTTCCCCATCCAAACACTGACAACAGACACCGCAGCAGACCATACAAGACTAGACAACACCAATCTTGAAGTAAACCAGGAGGTAGACTAGTTTAACGCAGATACAAGATATATACACTCAGGGGACAATCTCCCCTCCCTGCATAATAACACAGGGCGGGGCAATCTACATTTAGTAACAAGTGACACACAGGTATTCAAACTTCACACCAGCAGACAGTCCCATCAGGAGGGAGGGCTGCTGAAGACACCCTCCCCCTTACTAAACTAATACATAAACACATACATAATAGTTTGCTCCCAAGCAAGACAAACAATAGAACAATGGGATGAAACCACATGTCATTAAACAATCAACAACCCCCCACCCCCCCCAATATTAGGACAGATCACCCTGTACCCCTAACAGGCACAGGGTGATTTACACATAAGAGGGATATGGGGAGCTGAGACAGGAGTCTCCCCACCTCTCCAAAGTGAGCTGGATTCCAAAGTGATTCCCATCACAATCATCCTCAACATTGGTTCCATCACACGACCAAAAAGTACCAATGACAATGGACTTCCCTGCCTCACACCTGATCTGATACGTACATCATTTGTCAACCATGCATTCACCTGCACTCTACTCACCATCCCTCTGTACAAACACTTCATACACCCAAACACCTTTTCCGGAACTTCAATTTTCTCCAACATTTTAAACAAAATCATGCGACACCTTATCATACGTCTTTTTCAAAATCCACCGCTAACACTCCCGCCTCCTGCTAACCAAAGCACATCCCCCAAACACACTAAACACTCCACAATTGGTCTTCCTGGTACAGGACACGCCTGCTCATCCCCCCACCAATCCATCCACCACCTCGCAACCTATTCCTAATTATCTTCACTATTAACTTATAATCCATGTTAAAAAGTGAAATTGGTCTCTAGTTTTACAAATCCATAATATCTTTTTTTTTTTATACAGCAATACTATCACATTTTCCCTCATAAATAGAGGCAACACTTTCACACTCACCTCATGCACACTATCCCCAATCTCTTTACAAAATGCATCATAAAAGTCAACTGTGAGTAAATAGTGCTGGCCTAGAAACTATCCCCTAAAATAACTGTGCAAAAAAATATATATAAATCAAAATAAATAAGTTCATAAATATGCAAAACAGGATTCAATATAATAAAATCAATAAACACCCGACAGAGCCTCAGTCCAACATTAAGGTAAATACCCGAGAAGGCATCAATGAACCATACAAACTATAAACACAATCCCAATAAGAAGATAAAACACTAAACATAAGTGTAAAGTAAACACCTGGCTGACCACCTCACATGTGCCGTGTGAAAAAATGCAAATGTTCAATACTAAACACGTGAAATTAAGTGACAGTACATAAATTGAATTTTCATAAGTAAAGTTCATATATAAAGTGACAGTCCATAGTGTCAATACATCCACAATGGGTCCCGCATGAGCATCGAGGGCTATCCAGTTGGACTAGTCCGGTTACACTTAACACGTTGAGGATTTGGGATCAGGTTAATAAGTTGGGTGACCTCTTCCCTCCAACCTCGCCCCTCGCACTGTTGGGAGGTTTCCCTTGGTTTCTACCCAGTGAGGACGCATCCTTTTTTTAACATCTGGGGAGGAAAGGAGATTATTAGATGTCAGACCTTAGCCCCATCCGGATGTCTTCTACCCCTGGATGGTCTACACAGGTCCTTTGGCTCTTTTCCTATGGATTTTTGTCATTAATTTCAGATTCATGATTTCTTTCAGAGGTTGCTCCCCAGAGTACGAGCTTGGGACTCCTTGCCTTCCTTTGAGACTTCATGTGTAGAGCTGAGGGACTCTAGATACTTGTTATCCCTGATGTACAGAGGTTTACTGTCCACTTTTTCTCAGACGACTCCTTACAATATTCAGGAATGGGAGGCTGAATTGGGTTTTACCCTGGAGCCCCCGCAGTTGAGGAAAATTATTCATATGACTCATGCCTCGTCCATTAGCTCCAAAATGCAAGAGTCGTGCTATACCTTTTATCTAGGTGGTATAGGATACCTTGTCTGGTTGCTAAAATTTTCCCTGGTGCTGATAGTAGATGTTGGCGGGGATGCCCTCAGGAAGGCACCTTTTTACATCTTTGGTGGCATTGCCCCAAGATTAAAAAGTTTTGAAGGGATATTTCCCCCTGGATCCAGAGAACGACCTTTCAGCCTACTGATTTCACCCCTTTACACTATCTGTTTCATGGCACACCTTCCTCAATCAAAATTTTGATACGTAGCGTTACCCCGCATCTTTTGAATGCTGCTAAGAGCCTAATACCACGCCTATGGAAGCAGAGTAGATGCCCTACTGTGGTGGAGTGGAAGTGAGAGGTTCATAGGGTCTATCAGGCGGAACGCTGGATCCATACTGTCAAAAAACACCCTCGAGAAATTTCATGGCATTTGGGATGGGTGGGCTCTACTAATCTATGGAATTGGAGGACCCGGTTACCTCTCCTCCAGATATAGGTTCTATATGATTTTTTGATCCTTTCCTTGGGTCCCTCGTCTGGGCCTCCAGACCCCCTTCCCAGCTGGTCTCCTATACTTGCTCAGACCCAGAATCTCTATAGACAGCTAGCCGTGTGGTTGGTCTTTCCAGGGTTCTGCTCCCCAAGTTGTTCCCCTCCTGCCTTGCCCCAAGCGTTGCGCCCTTAATCCTGTGTTACTATTACTATTTCAATTCTACTGACCCTGTATGGCTTTTACTGTTTTTTTTTTTCATTTTGCTCCTCCCTCCTATTTTCCTTTCCTCTGGTTGTTTTTTTATATGTCCCGCCTTATCGCACATGAGTGCTGAGTTCCTGAAAATGTCCTTTGTGCCATATATGTTATTTATACAATCTATGTTTGAAGCTTGAAGTATACAGGGGCATGTTTGATCTTTTGCCCTAAGATTGGCTAGCCTCGTGCAGAGACGTAGCTCCTGCGTGGCGGTCAGATCTCTGGCTGCTTCTCACTGCCCAGACAGCAGGTGGGGGGTATGTGGCATGTTATCTGTTATGCACCATATACCATGTGCTGGACGTATGCATGTATTACATCATTGTACACTGGTTCTACTGTTGGACCCTTTTTTAATACTGCTTCTTTACCTTCTGTTTTGAAAATCTGAAAATCTTTGATAAAAGCAGATTATACAAAAAAATACATCTACAATGTGTCATTTTTGTGAGTCTTCCCCTTGGTGTGCTGTAATATCCACGACCACCAGGCATGCACGCTCACCTCCACAAGTTGACCCACATCACACCGGTCACACTGCGCTTAACTCCAACCCCTCATTCCTCTGCGTGTCACGGCCGCTGGAAACTCCACCACATCACCGACACCCGCAGGGTAACATGCTCAAATATATAATAAAAGAAAGGGGCTCCTCATAGTGTAGTAAATTTTAATAAAATCTCAAAACTCAGCTAGAAATGCACCCACATAGAACATAGGGGCTAAGCACCCTCATAAGGCATAGACAGAGGTAAACAAAGATGGCGGTGATCGTCGCCGTGCCAGCAATGACGTCACCACGCTTCAGTCCAACGTGTTGTGTCATGTACCACGTGACTTCATCAGGGATATTTACCTTAGTGTTGGACTCTGTCGGGTGTTTATTGATTTTATTATATTGAATCCTGTTTTGCACCTTTATGACTTTATTTTTGTTTGATTTATATATATTATTTTGCAGTTATTTAGAGGATAGTTTCTAGCACAGCACTATTTACACACTATATATTTATTTATTTGAAGTGGTGAAACACTGGTGCTTGCTGCTCTTAAGTAGTAGTATTTATTTACCTTTTTGGCAAGGCATCCTTTCCATTGTTTCATAAAAGTCAACTGGCAATCTATCACTCTTCCACTGTGACAGATCTCCATTCAAATGGATGGGCAGAATGTGAATTTGGGTTATTCATGATGTATTGCTGGGCAAAAAGGTTGCTCTGGTCCAAAAATCAATTGGTGTAACATTTTGGGTGTTGGCCTAAATGTCTGGCTGTGCAGTAAAAGAGAGGATACTAGCTGATGCTAAGGGAAGCCATAACAGGTTTGACACTCCTGATGATGTCATATGACGAAACATGTAGGGTGGAGCTTGATAGTGCTACACTTGTCCTCTGAGAAGGATTTAAAGTGCCATACACATAGTTTTTATGTAAGTGCAATTTTAAATGTTTTTTACCTAATAAATACGGTGTTATGCTATGGAAGTTTCCGTTTGATGTTTTTACAGTGGTGGAGGAGTACTGTGGAGGTCCTGGAGGAGTATTGTCGCAAACGATTGATCTAGAGGTGTTTCCACTATGGAGTCTGTCATCAGCGTATAGAAGTGTCAAGACCAGGAGCGGACTGACCATTTGGAAACTCGGGCACTGCCCGAGGGCCCGGGGTCAGTAGGGGGCCCCATGAGATACCCCTGGTACCTTTTTCCTAGGCATTTTTGAGTTTGGGCAAGGACACAGGGGCCCCATGATCCCCTATTGCCCGGGGGCCCCATGAGTTATCAGTCCACCCTTGGTCAAGACCACACAGACGGTACACTGTCCTGCAGGAGAGCACTTCAACATCTCGTGATATTTGACCGACCATTCCAGGTGGTCAATTGTCTGTGGTGAGTGGGGCTCAGGAGGGGGAGCACTAATTGGAGCACTTCGCACAGGGAATTGCTATTGATAGGAAGATTTACTACTGAATCACTTAATATTCACACTGGATGGGGGTTTCTTTGGGATTTTTTAAACTATGATAGCACTATTGTCATTTAGCACCTTGTATTTACTTATTGCTTTATATAGGATGTAGTCACACATTTGTTCTCCGGTACACATTTGTGATTTGCTAGCAGCAGCCAGTCTCATTGATCAGTCCTCTGCGCAGGTTACACTCACACAGGTTTGCAAGCGCCTCTGCGAGACATATTTGGGCCCTGATTCTTGGTGGATGAGTTGACACCCCACTACTAGTACTGGGCCTTTCATCCAGATGCACTGCATTGCTGGTGCTCATCTCTTCACCAGGATGATGTACAGCACTGCTAGTGGTTGCCTGCTCTTCACAAAGCCTCATCCTGAATGCTTATAGTCATCCTTTCCGCCTCCGATTCATTCTTGGCCCACTGCTCTCCACCGAATCTGAATCTGACAGTGAGAGCTCCCTGCTTACCTGTCATTGTCAGAGTCTGGAAGGCCTCCTCGCTGGTGTACATTTTTTGGACATGATGTATACTGGCTCTGGTGACACTGGGACAGGTGTGGCTGCTATCAGGGATACAGTGTATGTCTGCACTGCACTCAGGGCTGCACTGATGATGGCTGCACAGGTGACAGGTACACTGGCTGATCATGGCACTGATGATGGCTGCACAGGTGACAGGTACACTGGCTGATCATGGCACTGATGATGGCTGCACAGGTGACAGGTACACTGGCTGATCATGGCACTGATGATGGCTGCACAGGTGACAGGTACACTGGATGATCATGGCACTGATGATGGCTGCACAGGTGTGACAGGTACACAGACTGATCAGGACACTGATGATGGCTGCACAGGTGACAGGTACACAGACTGATCATGGCACTGATGATGGCTGCACAGGTGTGACAGGTACACAGACTGATCAGGACACTGATGATGGCTGCACAGGTGACAGGTACACAGACTGATCAGGACACTGATGATGGCTGCACAGGTGACAGGTACACAGACTGATCATGGCACTGATGATGGCTGCACAGGTGACAGGTACACTGGCTGATCAGGGCACTGATGATGGCTGCACAGGTGTGACAGGTACACTGGGTGATCATGGCACTGATGAATGGCTGCACAGGTGACAGGTACACTGGCTGATCATGGCACTGATGATGGCTGCACAGGTGACAGGTACACAGGCTGATCATGGCACTGATGATGGCTGCACAGGTGACAGGTACACTGGCGGATCAGTGCACTGATGATGGCTGCACAGGTGACAGGTACACTGGCTGATCATGGCACTGATGATGGCTGCACAGGTGACAGGTACACTGGGTGATCATGGCACTGATGATGGCTGCACAGGTGACAGGTACACTGGCTGATCATGGCACTGATGACGGCTGCACTGGTGTGACAGGTACACTGGCTGATCATGGCACTGATGACGGCTGCACTGGTGAGACAGGTACACTAGCACATCATGGCACTGATGACGGCTGCACGGGTGACAGGTACACAGGCTGATCATGGCACTGATGATGGCTGCACAGGTGACAGGTACACTGGCTGATCATGGCAATGATGACAGCTGCACAGGTGACAGATACACAGGCTGATCATGGCACTGATGATGGCTGTACAGGAGACAGGTGCATTGGCTGATCAGGGCACTGATGACGGCTGCACAGGTAACAGGTACACAGACTGATCATGGCACTGATGACGGCTGCACAGGTAACAGGTACACAGACTGATCATGGCACTGATGATGGCTGCACAGGTGACAGGTACACTAGCTGATCATGGCACTGATGACGGCTGCACTGGTGTGACAGGTACACTGGCTGATCATGGCACTGGTGATGGCTGAAAATTGTGACAGGTACATTGGCTGCAATCAGGCCACTGACAGGTGTCTATGTGTGTAACAATGTAGGGAAGGGCATTGTGAAGATCGTAGGAAATCACAATGGAATTGCTAAACTCACAGATCCCGGTACAGATCTCTCTCCTTCCTCTCACATGCAGATGTGTGTGAGTAAGGAGAACCAGTAACAGCAAGTACCGGCCATAGTTTACATTTTGTGGTCAGCTGTGATTGGACACATCGATCACATGGTAAAGGGGCCATTGAGATTGACCCTTTACCCAGATCTATAATGAGCCATGTCCAAGGAAGTGATTACAAATCATGGTGGAGTAAACCAAAAATCTCCACTTCTACCTAATGTGATACAAAAGAGATTAGGTGGGCTTTCCTTTGAGCCATAACCTAACATTGAACTGACACGTCATTATAGGATTTCCAAACCAGGACATCTATACTTTATTGACTCTATCAATTTTATTTTTTTTCAAAACTTTTTTTTTTATTATTATATCTTTGTTAAATTTTTTAATTCAAATCCACTTTATACCAAATATCAAAAGATAAAAAAAAAAAAATTATCTTTTCTCATCGCCCTATTTACCCTATTTACATCCTAAAAAACTTTGATAATGGTCCATTTACCTTCACTATATAGATCTTTTATCCACATCATTCTGGGCCCAATTCCTAATGTCTTTAGCATTTCTATCATAAATCTCCAATCTACTCTATCAAAGGCCTTTTCAGCATCACCAACTGATAAAATAATCCTCGGTAAATAATCCTCGGTACCACTCCTCTTCCATTTTTTTTGCAGGATAAGCAATGTTCTAAGTCCATTATCTCTTCCCTCTCTACCCGAGATAAATCCCACTTGGTCTAAGTGTATCCAATCAGACATCAACTCTTTCATCCTTGTTTCTAGTACCTTCGCATATAATTTTGTATCGACATTCAACAAAGATATAGGTCTGTAACTGGTACACTGAGGCCAGTCTTTCCCCTCCTTGGGTATTACTGTGATATATACCTGTAGCGACTCCTCCCTCATCTTTGTCTCTTCTCCCAATGCATTCATGTATATACACAGTTTAGGGACTAGATATTCTTTAAACTTCTTATAATATCCCACAGTGAATCCATCAGGTCTGGGGCTCTTACCTACAGCTGTACTCTTCAGTGCTAAATTTACTTCTTCTGTTGATATTAAGCTATCTAAAGCTGTTAATCTGGCTTTGTACAATCTAGGTAAACTGGCCTCATTCAGATATATCTGCCTTTTTTCCCCTTCTCTCTTCCTCTGATTCCCTCTGGTTCTTAAATTATACTACCTATAGACCGCTATAGTATCTCTGAAATGTGTTAGTGATATCAGTGGTCGAATAAACCATTTCACATTTTTTGTTTTTAATTTTATCAATAAAGCTCCTCAACTTAATTTAATTCAGTCTTTTCATTAGGTGTTTCCCCGGTTTATTCCCCCACCAATATCTTTCCTTTAAATCCCTAATAAAAATCTTCCTTGGTTCTTGTACCATGAGATCCTTTAACTCCTCTCTTTTTAATACTATCTCCTGTTGTAACCCTATATTTATTTTCTTTTTATGTAATTGTTCCAACTAATACAGTTCTTCTGTTAATACCCTGATTTTTTCCCCCATTCTTTCTTTTTCTCTGCCCCTATCGCAATCAGTATACCCCTAATATAGGCTTTATGTGCTTCCCATACAGTGGCAACAAAAACCTCCTCAGATTCGTTTAGTTTAAAATATTGTTCTATTTCCTGATTTACTATTATTTCCATGTCTTGTAAAATGGTCTCATTTAATCGCTATGTTTATTTTGTTCTTTTCCCTTCCAAACCGTAGTCTCATTGTGACAGGAGCATAATCCAATATAGATATTACATCTATGTTACTTTTCACTAAAGACGCCAAGAGTCTATGTTCAATCAACATATAATCCAATCTTGAATACATACTATGCGCCTCAGAGAAGAAGGTATAGTCTCTTTCCCTTGGTTGCTCAACCCTCCAGGCGTCCATCAGCTGACATTGATGCAACTTTTTTTTTTTTAACATTCTTTAGACTCCTATCTCCCTCTCAACGGGCGCACGATGAGGCATCCATCTTTGGGTCCATGCAAAAATTTAAGTCACCTGCCACAATCATGCTACCACTTTTAAAGTCTATATGTTTTCCCAATATTCCTTCCAAATATACCGTCGGGTTTTTATTAGGGCAATAAATATTTGTAATGTACAATCTCTTCCCTGCAAGTTTCCTCTCAAAAATAAATAATGGCCTGCTGGATCTGCCAGCCTTTCAATCAAAGTAAATTTTATATTTTTTCCAAATCCTATTGCCCACTCCCTTTGCCTGTCTTATTGGTGAGTCCACATAATACCAGGTTGGTAGATATTTAGAATATAACTTAACATTTGAATCCTGGGATATACATGTCTCTTGAAGAAACACCACTTCAATAGATCGTTGGTTTATTTCCCTTAAAACCTTATGTCTTTTTGTTGGAGTGTTCAATCCTTTTACATATGTCATAAAGTTAACCATAATCCTTCCTCTCATTTTATCTTTTCTCCTCTATATATCATTTGCGGGGGTGCAAGTAAGCACCTTCCCCATTTACCATTCTCCCTCCCCCTCCCAACTTACCCCCCCCCCTCCCCCTCTCTTGAAAAGTCCTATGGCCTATTTTTGGCCCTTATATCAGTTGTGACATATTGTCACAATTGATTCCTTCTTCTGGGTAGCCATTCCCTCTTGTTGACCTCAGATATATCTTACATATATTTATATTCAAATATTATTTATTGAAAGGTTTTTGAACATACAGAAAAAATAAACAAGGTAAATGAGAATATCAAGTTCACTTAGGAAATCATAGTACACACAAATATAGATATGCGTGAAGGATCCCCACCGATAGGCCGGGGATATTTTAGATTCCAGGTGTTACATGAGAGGTATGCTCATTGTCGAGTGAACTTTCTCGAGGTAACTAGGTTTAAATTAAAGAAGAGATAGGAATTG